CTGATAGGTAATAGCAAGAGCTACATTGTATCAGTATACAGAATAATCAACTAATATCAATACTTTCCTTTATTAAGTTTAAGAATAAAATCTATAAAATAATTTAATGCAAATATAGGGTGGGGCAAAAGTAGGTCTACAGTTGTCCATATGGAAGATAATACAATAATTAATAAATAATAATACAAGAATAAACTGTGCTCCATGTGCTCACAACTATAAGCCTACTATTGCTCCACCATGCATAAGTACCTCAAATATCTGAAAGTTTAATGTAAACTTATTTTATGGCCCAGTGAAAATTTATAATGCAAAATTCTTCCATCCAATTCTCAAGCTCTCAAAGACCTAAGAAGGGAAAGATATGTTGCCTGATATTTATGATATGAAAATAGGTAAACTGTGTAAAAAAAAATTCTAATAAACCCTCTAATTTGCAGTGAGTATAAAGGTCATCATTAATCCTTACACATAATGATACAATAACTGCTTATTTTAAGTCTCTAGATCAGGGTTTGTCAAACTCAGCACTACTGACATTTGGGACAGACAATTCTTTGTTGAGGGGGTGTCCTGTGCACTGCAGGATGCTCAGCAGCATCCCCGGCTTCCACCTCAAAATGCCACTAGAGACACACACTTGTCTCCTCCAATTATCAGATTCAGGCTGTAACCCTGGAACTCCCCTTAAGAGAGAAAGGGGGGTTTTCCTCTCAAAGGGAGATGATTTGACAAGACGCAGATTTCCCACAGGGTAGAGCAGGCAGGGAAGGAGTCTGGAATGATGAACTTTGTCTAGTCTTAGCTACCAGGAAAGTATAAAGAGAGAATAGTAAAAGTACACAAAGGCTAGGGGAGGCCTTCTCAGAAGAATGCGAAGCATGGCAGTGAGAAGGCTGCTGTAAAGGAAAAAGATTAGTTCATGAAATTCCTTTTAGCAAAGTGGTTAAGTGCCCAATAAAGTGAAAAACGCCACATACACGGAGAAAATCTTGGTTCTAGTTGAACCTGCCATTAACCAACCTAGTAACCTACGGCTGAGTATCATCATGTTTCTTTTTTCTTTTTTTAAATGTATCTTTATTGACTTCAGAGAGAGGAAGGGAGAGGGAGAGAGACAGAAACATCAAATGATGAGAGTCATCACTGACTGGCTGCCTCCTGCAAGCCCCCGACTGGGGATCATCGAGCCCGCAACCCGGGCACGTGCCCTGACCGGGAATCCAACCGCTATCTCCAGGGTCCTAGGTCGATGCTCAACCACTGAGCCACACCCTGCTGGCCTCGTCATGTTTCTTGCCTCAACTATTTCCTTAGCTGCAGGATGGAATGTGTGGAGTAGACCAGAATTTGGAGAAATTTTGACTGTGGAACTTATGACCTGCCTACCTTTCCTCCCTCCAAGGAAGAGATTTTACACCTCAAACACTACATCAGGGGAGAAACTGCCCAGGGCACTTGAAGGCTTGCAGATCTATCCCCAGAGACCTAACTATTGATGGCAACCAAGGAAACTGACCTGCAAATTTGGGAATGAGGGACCCTTTCCCCAGATTCCAGAATCTCTGACTGCAATGTAAGAAGTTTGCTTACCTCTCCTCGAGAATATCCTTGGCCTGGCAAAAGAGGAAAGGTGGGACACCCTGCCCAGAGACTCCACCTATAGCCCAACCTACTCAAGCCGTAAGAACTACATTCCTGTTCAGGCTTCCCCAAGGGTCAGCTGCCTACTGTACCCCCAGCACAAGGAGCTGGGGACTGCACTACCCCATGAGCCAGGCAAGCTGCCCCTCCTTGCAGAGCTCCCCCTCTCTGAAGAATTGTGAACACTACCAGCTCCTAAAGTCAAACTCTCCATGGGAGTCCAGGTGCCAAAGTGTGGCAGTGTCTGATAGAGCCATTTTATAAGTACGTTAGAGAAAAATCTTCTGTAGGCACAAAAAGGCCTCTGTCTTAATGCTCCTCTATGAACTGTGTTAGCAGGAACTGATTGCTCAACGATGGGGCACTATTAAAAGGTTAGCTAAGTTAACTCTGAGCATGCTGGGGGAGAACCATCCAGTACCTGAAAGAGCCTTCTCCAAAAAATGCTTTCAATACCTATGGCCAAATCACTGCCGTCCTGTTCCTCAATGACAAGCACTGGACTTAGACTTAAGGCTTTACGCAAAGTGGTTCTCAACCTCCAAGGTGCATTAGAATCACAGGATGAGCTTTTAAAAGATTTTAAAAATACCGAGTCCAGGAGCTTATTGCTAGCAATTCCAATTAAATCAGTCTGGTGTGGGTACCAAGCACTGATACTCTTTTCAAAAGCTCCTTATGAGAGCAAAGTTAGTAAAACTACATTGAAAAAGATTGGCAATTTCTACTAAAGCTGATCATACATGCCCTATTACTCCGCAATTCTACTCCTAGATGTGTAACCAACAGAAATGTGTATACGTTCCACCAAAAGACACGTAAAAAAAACACTCATAGCAGCACTATTCATAATCACCAAAAACTAGGAACCCAAATGTTCATGGGTAGGTAAACTAGTGGCATATTCATATAGTAGGATACAATACAGAGAGTAAGTGGACTACAACTACGTGCAACATGGAATCATGTCAGAAAGATGATGTTGGAGAGAAGCCAGACACAGAAGACTTTATACTGCATGGTGCCATTTATATAAACTTCAAAGACAGGTGACACTAGATGTTAAAGTTAGAAGTCAGGATAGTGATTACTTTTGTGGGGGTGGTGACTGGGTGAGAGAGGGGTGCCAACATTATTTCTTTTCTGGGTGCTAGTTACTCAGGTAAATTCAGCTGTGAAAAATTTGCTGAGCTGTATACATATGATAGGTACACTTATTCATACTTAAATAGAAAGAATTAACAAAAAATAGCTCCCTAAGAGATTTTATGTGCAGCTAACATTGAGAGCCTCTGAAGTACATCTCAAGGTAGCTATCACTGTCTAAAAGGTAATGTATACACTAACTAGTTGCCCTTCAACAACACGAGGGTTTGGGGCAGTGCCCACCACACTATCAAAAATTGAAGTATAATTTTGACTCCCCCAAAACTTAACTACCATAGTCTCTCAGTGTCTGAGGGGAACTGGTTCTAGGACCCCTCCCTCCCCACCAGGCTTTCAAAATCCCAAGATGCTCATGTCCCTTACACGAAATGGCCTAGAACAATGCATAGTCTGCCCTCTGCACCTGCAGATTTCCAACTGCAGATCGAAAATACTGGCTTTCAATCTGTGGTTGGTTGAATCCCAAGATGTGAAACCCAGGGAATTTAGAGAGCTGACTGTATCTATCTTGAAAAAAATCTGAGCAGTTCAAACCCTTGTTGTTCAAGGGTCAATTGTAATTACTAATCACTAATACAGCTCATGTGTATCACACACTTATTATGTGCCAGGAACAATTCTAAATGCTCTTCAGTTAATTATTCATTTACTTCTCCAAACAACTCCATGGCCTAGATGTTATCTTTATTTTACATTTGAGGAAATTTTGGCACAAGGAGGTAAGCTAATTTGCCTAAAGCCATAAAACTAGGAAGTACTGAAAAAAAGGTTTATAGGTGTTTATGGATATAGACATAAACAAAATAATGCATGTATTTGCCCTTATGGAGCTTACAAACATACTCAACTTGCTCTCCACTCAATCAAAATATATCCAGTGAGCAACTATTCTCAGTCTGCCAAGAAGCAAAACTAAATTATCTCTTCACAAATCAGTCTTTCTAAAAAGGAAGCTTTCATCAAGAAAAAGCCACTGGTAAAGGGGGTAGGTTTGGATACAAATAAACAAAAAATGAAGGTCAAACAGAAACAATGCAATTCAACAAACTACATGTTGAAAAGCAATCGGATATAAGTACTGTGATTTCTAGCCTAAAAGCCTGGAGTTTCTCCTCATCAATGTGAAAGGCTCACCACAATCTAATTTACACTTCACTTTCTTTGTCCAGGAAACAATCATTTTGCACCAAGGTGGCTTTCACACCACCAACGACTCTATAATTCATTCAAAAATCTCTACTCACAAAATTAGGAGTTCAGAGGAGAGTTACTGTTTCCAACTACAGCAGTTGCAAAGTAACTGGTGAGGTTCAAGGTCCTAAGAGCAACCTGAAGGAGTGTGTGCCAAAAGTAGGTTTACAGTTTTGAGTACAAGAAACAGTTTATTCTTGTATTGTTAATTAATTATTGTATTATTTTCCATACGAAGAACTGTAAACCTATTTTTGCCCCACCCTGTATATTCTTTCCTCTTCTGGTCTCATCTTTCCCCACTAGCCACCTCTTAGACACAAAGCAGAGGGGTATTACTTCCTGGGAGTCAGTCTGGCAATCCTATCCACTAGTTACGCATTCCTGTAGGGGTAAAAAAGGCAGAGGTCAAATGGAATACAGAATATTGTCAAGATTCAAGAGCCAAACTAGCATGTAACTCTAGGACGAGGACACGGAGATGTGCTGTTAGAGGAGCATTAAACTGAAGGGGAAACTGGGCCCCTTAGCAAATCAGTCTGGTGTAGTGGGTAAAGGAGACCCGCTGTCACCTCCAAATTATAGGGGAAGGAGGCAAACTGGATTTCTGCGTCCTGACTGTGATGTTGCAGGCATCCCCAACTGCTCTCTCCTGGTAAAGTCAGCGGCCGCATTTTGGGGAGCAGTCAGGCCGGGTGAGAGGACTTGTCCCAGAAGCACCGTAGCCAGCGGGCACAGCCACCAGGCAGCCCACCAGCAAACGCAGATTGTGCCCGGAGCCCTTTTCCTCGGCTACAGATGGGAAGAGATCGGGGCACTGGCCTTCCTCCCCACCGGGTTGGTCCGATTCTGCGCTACAGGTCTCCCTCCCGCAAAAAACTAGTCCATCGCTGACCTGCACACCTTGCTCAGAGCCCTTGCCTGCAGCCCAACGCTCCCTAACAACGACAGGTGCTTACGTGGAGACCACTTTCCCGTTCAAGATTTCCGCCGGTGCCATGACCTTTACTAGTCCGCCGCCCACGATGGATACCGCCAAAATCGAGGTTTGATTCCCTTCCCTACCGCGGACAGCCCAACCCACGAGGTTAGCGACCGCCCGGGGAGAGCTTGCTTCTGCGCCTGCGCCCCCTCCCTACCCCCCCCTCCCCTCGGACGTCGGAGCGCGTGCGCAGTCCTTAAGCCGGGAGGCGCGGAGAGCTAGGGGATCTGGAATGCGGCGGGAGATAAACTCGGCGATGACTGGAGGGAAGAAATGACCGGCGGGCGGAAGGAGTCGTTTCAGACGGCGCCTTCACGTGGGGCGGAAACCCGCGTAAGAGGGGGCGGGTCTCTACCCCAGCCTATCGGAGGCGGAGGCGGAGGCGGAGGGGCGGTCTCGCGGGAGGTCAGTTTCGCGGGCGCGGGAGCGGAATGGTCTCCTTGACCCGCCCGGACGCTAGGGGCGCGAGTCCCGCGGGGCGGAGCGCGGGGCTCCTCCGGGAGCTCTGGCCAGGCTCTGGCGCGCGGAGCTTGGGGCGGTGGTGTCGCCGGACCGCGCTGACGAACTGGTGTCCCCACCCCAAAGCTGAGCCGGAGGGGCTAGGCGGCGCCCGTGACTTTTAAGGTCTCATGTGACTGATCTCGGCCGGGGTTGAAGCCCAGCCCGCTGTCAGGCCGGCCGAGCGGGAGCGCCTGGGGGTCCCGTAACCCCGGGGGCGGCAGTGCGGGGGGGAGGGGCCGGCAGCCTTGCGGGACTGTTTTGTCAGGTCCCCGCGCAGCTCTGGGCTGGAGAAGCGACGGGGGTGAACCAGATGCCCAGTGACCCGCAGGGCGGACCCGGCCCACCGTAGGCGTCACTCCGGAGGACGCGGGAGCCTGGGGAGCAGGGCTGCAGGCCCCGGGCAGCCGGGCTGGTCGCGGGGACTTGCTCTGCTAGTGTCCCGAGTCCTATGAGTTAGGTCCCAGTCGTCCGATACAGTTCAGAGACAGATTGTTCAGCTCTCTTAATTTTACCCCCAGCTTTTTTGAGGTGTTATGGACATGTATGTAGGTTTAAGGTGTACACCGTGATGATTTTAATACACGTATTTAGTACACCGCTCTTATCACAATTAGTTAACATTTCCATCCCCTTACATAATTATCTTTGTGTGTGTGTGTGTGTGTGGTGATAATATTTAAAATTTACTCTCTTAACGTTCAGATTTATAATACACTATGGTTAATTATAGTCACTGGATATTAGATCCCCAGAATTTATTCATTTTATAGCAGCAAGCCTCTAGCCTTTGACTACCACCTCCCTGTTTCCCTACCACCCTTGCCCCTGGCAACCATTATTGTACTCTATGAGTTCAGCTTTTTTAGATAACCACATATAAGTAATATCTTACAGTATTTGTCTTTCTCCCACTTCACTTTAACACGAAGCCTTCAAGGCTTCAAGATTCATCCATGTCTTAAAAGGTAGGATTTCCTTTTTTAAAAATGGCTGAGTGATGTTCACACACTCACACACACGCACACACTTGCATTTTCTTTAGCCATTCATCCATTCGTTACTGGAGGGGACCTGGCCCAGAGCAGGTCTGCCTAGGGCCAGCCAGTAGTGTGTGGGATCTTGACTTCATGTAGGAAAGATTTCACAGCATGAGTCCAGATGACTATGAGGGTACATTTATTAAAGCTGGGGACAGTGAAACAAGGAAGGACTTAGCATAGAAGAAACAACAGGAGAGCCTAGGCTGGGCTGCTTTAGCTCACTGGGAAGTCAGAGAAAATGGGCCCTTGAGGACAGGTTCAGGGGCTTAGCCCAGGTGTGAGCTGCCCATTGCTCCCCTGGTTGCAAGTCTCGTGGGGTCTCTTAGAGTGTAGGAGATGCACGCCTGTGGGGGAAGAAGGAAGGAACGGCACAGGCTGCTCCGCAGAGGGAGAGTGTGGACTGGGATGCTTTGTCTTTTATCTCTCTCTTGCAGGCAGGAACCTTAGGGGAGGTTTTGAGGGAGGGTTTCAGCAGAATATTCATCAGTTTTTCAGGGTCCTGGCCTCTACTGATTTGTCAGTGCCAGGGTAGGGGATCATCAGTCACTGCAACTGGTCCTGGCCTAACCCACCTGGTTTTGTTGCTTTTCTGCGCCTGGAGCTGAAATACAGCTGAGCCCTAGATGTCATCTCTAGGGAAGTTACCTTCTGTATCTGGCTGTAAATTGCTTGGCCAGTTTGTTCAGCTATTTGCCTCAGTTTTCCTATATTCCACTTATCCTGGCTTACTGGCCTGTCTCACATTGATGGGCACTTAGGTTGTTTCCATGTCTTGGCTATTATGAGTAATGCTGCAGTGAACATAGGGAAGTAGTTAATTCTTTGAGATAGTGAATTTGTTCAGGTCACTTTGGATTTGACCAAATATCTGGATTGCTTTTTATTTATTTATTTTTAAATCCTCACCTGAGGATATGTTTTCACTGATTTATTTTTTTTTTAACTGATTTCAGAGAGAGAGATGGAGCAAGAGAGAGAAACATCAATCTGGCTGCCTTCTGCATGCCCCCTACTGGGGATTGAGCCCGAAACCCAGGTATGTGTCCTGACTGGAAATCGAACCATCGCCTGCTGGTTCATAGGTCCATGCTCAACCACTGAGCCTCGCTGGCCAGGCTGTTTTCACTGATTTTTAAAGAGAGAAGAAGAGAGAAAGGGAAACATAAATCAGTTGCCTCCCTCACGTGTCCTGACTGGGGATGGAACCCAAAACCTGGGTATGTGCCCTGACGAGGAATTGAACCCACAGCCTTTTGTTGCACAGGACAATACTACAAGCAGCTAAGCTACCTGACCAGGGCTCTGGGTCGATTTTATAAACCATTTCTTAGGGTGGACCGTAATGGCAAAGCTCATCTATTGAACTTGTTTCTTTTTATAAATTCTTGGCTTTCGGGGGTAGGTGGCATTTGCCTTATTCCTAAATTCTGAGAATATTTTACAGTTGCCCCCTGTGTGGAATTAGAGACCCTTTTTTTGTTTTATAAACAGTTTTATTGAGGTATAATTTACATACTATAAAATTCACCCTCTTTAAGTGTGATTTTTAGTGTTTGTGCAACCATCACTGTAATAGAATTAAAGAATCTTTGGTGAATTTTTCTTTTAATTGCTTTTATTTGATCATTCTTAAAGTTTTTACAAGTACACGTAGAGGTACAACTTAACATATAATGTAATAATGAGAACATCCAAACAAATACCTTCACATATTGTTTTACCTGAACAAATGAAATTATGAAGAAAATTTAAGCAAATTTTCCTGGTAAATTGTAGGCAGTGACATTTTTGTGGCTTATAATACCAAAGAGACATTGACTACCTCAGCTGTCTTTTGCTGAGGGAGATGGCACAAATTCCACTTTACTGATGGAGAAATAGACTTTGAAGTATGACTTGCTAAAAGCTACATTGCTGTGTCTGGGATAAGCCCAACCCTGGATGTTTCAACTCTAAATGTTATTGTCTTTGCCATCTCGACAGCGTGGTTTTAAACTATAATATTTTTTGTGTGACTTGTACAATTCACTCATTCATTGAATAAGTAGTTGTTAAGTAGCTGTTGGGCCAACAACAAAAGACACTGCTCTGGGTGATACTACAGTGAACCAACAAAATTCCTGCCCTCAGGTATTATTTTGGTGGGGAGAACAGTGATCAGTTAAATAAATATATACTCTAATTTTAGATATTGAGACATGCCACTTTTTAAAATCCTCACCTGAGGATATTTTTTCCATTGCTTTTCAAAGAGAGTGGGAGGAAGGGAGGGAGGGGGAAAAAGGGAAGAGAGGAGAGAAACATCGATATGAGGGAGACACATCAACTGGTTGCCTCATGCATGGGCCCCAGCTGGGGAAGGGAGTGAACCTGCGGCCCAGGTATGTGCCCTTGACTGGGAATTGAGCCCATGACCCTTCGGTGCTTGGGCCGATACACTCTAACCACTGAGCAACACTGTCCAGGGTGAGACATGCCATTTTTAAAAATAGATAGGCTAAGAGGACAGGGAATGGTGGTGGGTTAAGAAGTGCTCTTTTAGAAATGTGGTAAGAGAGGCTTCCTTCTCTGGGGAATCTGACTTGAGCAGAACCCTGAATGAAAAGATAGTTATGGTGTAAGAGAAACAGCAAGGATTTTGAGCAACTGGAAAGGTGGAGCTGCCATTACTGAATTGAAATAAAATAACACTGTGGAAGAAACAGGTTTTTAATTTCAATTCAGTTTTAAACGTTTCTAGGTTCTAGTCAAGGTGGTGGTATAGGCTTGGCACTAGTGGCAGCTGAACTTGGTTAGCAGCTTGGCCTCTCCTGGATACCTCCAAGCCCAGCACAAGTAGCATCCATCTGCAGATTGCTCTGTAGCTGGTGCCAGGTGGCTCTAGGCAGGGCACAGGCAATGGCTAACCTTACACCTCCCAGGAGGCCCCAGCCAGTACATTCAGTGTATAGCTGCAGACCACGCTGGGTTACTACCCTACCACCTCTGTGAGCTACACACTCAAGGGGCAGAATTGGCAGGCACCAAAGCCCCACTGAAGGAAGTCCTGCTCCATAGAGTTGGTCCCTACACAGCAGCTCCTCTTCCATAGTTGCAGGAGGGCCTTGCAGCTGATCAGTCTGGGGAATCAGTCCCTCCCCGTGATGTGCCAGCACCAATCAAGGCTCAACTATAACAGGACAGTGTACACAATCCACACAGGGGGTGTACCTAGAGCACCCAACTTGGGTGACTGGGGAGGCTGTGCCACTGGGCCCTAGAGGACACCTACTACACAAGGCTACTCTACCAATTCCAGGAGACACAGTGGCTCTACCTAATACATAGAAACAAACACAAAGAAGCAGCAAAAATGAGATAAAAAACACACCCCAAAACCAAACAGGTCCCAAATGAAATAAGAGAAATCTACAGAAAAAGAATTGAATGAAATGGAGGCAAGCAAACTGCCATATACAGAGTTCAAAACAATGGTTGTAAGGATGCTCAAGAAACTTAGAACTTCAACAGCATAAAAAAGGACATGGAAACCATAAAAAAGAACCAATCAAAAATGAAGGATACACTAACTGAAATAAAGAATAAATTTCAGGGAATCATCAGTACAGTAGACAAGCAGAGAATCAAATCAGTGATTTGTAATATAAGAAAGCAGAAAACACCCAATTAGAACAGCAAAATGAAAAAAGAATCCAAAAATATGAGGATAGTGTAAGGAGCCTCTGGGACAACTTCAAGAATATCAACATTTGAATCATGGGGATGCCAGAAGGGGAAGAGAGAGATCAAGAAATTGAAATCCTATTTGAAAAAATAATGATAGCAAACTTTCCTAATCTGATGAAGGAAATAAACATACAAGTCCNATTTGAAAAAACAATGATAGCAAACTTTCCTAATCTGATGAAGGAAATAAACATACAAGTCCAGGAAGTACAGAAAGTCCCAAACAAGATGAACCCAAAGAGGTCCACACCAAGACACATCATAATTAAAATGCCAATGTTAAAGACAAAGAGAGAGCCTTAAAAGCAGCAAGAGAAAAGCAATTATCTACAAGTGAGCTCCCGTAAGACTGTCAGATGATTTCTCAACAGAAACTTTTCAAGCCAGAAGGGATTGTCATGAAATATTCAAAATAATGAGAAGGACCTATAACTAAGATTACCCAGCAAAGCTGTCATTTAGAATCAAAGGACAAACAAAGAGCTTCCTAGACAAAGTAAAGCTAAAGGAATTCAAAACCACCAAACCAGTAGGACAAGAAATGTTAAAGGGTCTTTTTTAAGACAAAGAAGGAAAAAAAATAAAAAATATGAATAATAAATGGCCATAAAAAAGAACACAATCTTGCCATTTGCTACAGCAGGGATGGACCTAAAGGGTAGTGAAATAAATCAGTCAGAGAAAGAGAAATACCATAGGATTTCACTTATATGTGGAATCTAAAGAACAGTATAATTAAAAAAACACAACAGAAACAGACTCAGAGATAATAGGAAACAGGCTGATGGTTGCCAGAGGGGGAGGTTGGGGGACTGGGTGAAAAAGGTGAAGGGATTGCCCTGGCCTCTGTGGCTCAGTTGGTTGAGCGTCATCCTGTGCATCAAAAGGTTGCTGGTTCAATTCCTGGTCAGGGCACATGCCCAGGTTGCAGGCTTGATCCCTGGTAGGGGGTGTGCAGGAGGCAGCCAATCGAAATCTCTCTCTTGCATTGATGTTTCTCTCTCTCTTCCTCTCTCTCTAAAATCAATAAAAACTTTTTTTAAAAAAAGGTGAAGGGATTGAGAAATACAGATTGGTAGTTACAAAATAGTCATGGGGATGTGAAGTACAGCATAGGAAATATGGTAAATAATATTGTAATAACTATATATGGTGCCAGTTGGGTACTGGAAGCATTGGGGGAACACTTTGTAAGGTATATGATTGTCTGACCACTGTGCCGTACACCTGAAACTAATACAAAATAATACTGGATGTAAACTATAATTAAATTTTTTTAATTAAAAAAAGTTTTTAGATGCCTCTTAAGCACCCAAATATCTAAGTGGTATTCATAGAAATGAGAGATATTATGATGTTTAAATTCATGAGATGAGATGAAAAGGGAATGGGTGGAGGTAGAGAGGACAAGGGCTAATCTTTAGGACACTTCAATGTTTAGAATTCAAGATGAGGAAAAACCAGGAGGGAAGGTTGCACACACCCAGCCTTAGAATGCAAGTGAAGAAAGTGTATCAGAAGAAAAGGGGTAATTAATTCTGTCAAATATATCGCAGATTGGTTAAATAAGATAAAGACTGATAATCGATCATTTCACAGAAAATAGAAAGATGCTTTTATTCAAATGCTCTTAATGGCCATTGCTTAAAAAAAATGTGTATCTTTTTTGCAGAAGCTCCATTTTTACAAGCTTTTTGAGGGTAATTTGATAATATCTATCAAAACCTTAAATTATAATTGACCTTATAATTTCTCTTCTAGGAATTTATCCTAGAGTGACATTTACACATATACACAAAGGTATGTGTATAAAAGTGTTCCTCACACATTGATTTCAATAGCAAAAAGCAAATCTCCATTAGAATGGATGCAGTTGTTAAAGGAACAATAGATATATACCTCTATAGATATACTGTAAGATAGCTTTCAAACATTGTTAAATGATAAAGGCAGGTTATCCAATAAAGTATATGATTTAATTTATATTAATACATCCCAAAGTGGCCCTCTGATCACATTACCAAAAGTTGCCTCCTCCTTACTGTCACATTAGTCTATTTTATTCATAGCACTTACCACTATCTAAAATGATTTTATTTATGTACTTGTTTGCTGTTTTTTCTTTTTTCACCAGAATGTAAGCTATATAAGAAATAATCAAAGAACTTATATGCATAAATGCATAACCCATGGACCCAGACAATAATGCGGGGAAGGCCTGGGGGTGGGGCAGATGCAGAGTGGAAGGGGCCAACGGGGGAAGGGGACATCTGTAATACTTTCAGCAATAAAGATAAATTAAAAAATATATTCAATAATGTGCCCTACTCCTTATAGATTTAATAAAAACATTTAAATATTCCTATGTATAGTTTCCAAGATTTTTTCTATAATCACATCCCCTAATTACCTTTCAGTAANAAAAAGAAATTTTCTATCTTATTTATACTTACATTCCTGCTGCTTGGGGATGTAATTTTAAAAAGCTAGTTTTAGAGGAAAAAAATATTTCTTATTTTCCTGGTTTGGTTAGTAACCATTACTTCCATTCCTATGAATGTCACTTAATTTCTCCTTTCCCCATTTGTATCATACGTAAGTGAAGATAATGGGACAGTCATGCTCAACCATAAAGTCACACAAGAATCACCTGTGTGGCTTTTAAAAAATAGGCCTAGGCTCCACTGTAGACCAATTAAGTTAGACTTTGGGACAGGGTCAGGGTCTCAGTGTTTTTTTGGAGTTTTCTTTGAGATTCTGATGTACAGGCAAAGTTGACACCTCCTAGATTAGATGATATCTGAAGTATAATCCTAGTGATTCTGGTATCAAGAATACATAACAGGGATGTACTTTCTGTGGCATAAAAGTATTTCCCTGGAATAAGATATCAGCCTTTCAGACAAATCACCTTTGCTTTAGGAGTAGTAGATGGAATCATTTTTTTCCTCCTCTCAAAGTACTTTTCCCTCAATGAGGTGTAGGTGTCAGAACATAAAATTTGACCTCTTCCAAGAATTTCTCAAAAGAAAGACCCAAAATGTAAGTTTCACATTTGCCAGAATGTTTACTTTCAGTGGGACCACTTTCTGAAGAGTTCTTAAGTTCCCTAATGCTTGATGAGACCACTTTGTGCTTTCACTTCACTGATTAGGGAAATAAAGGCCCACAGGTTTACTGTACCCTTCAAGAGGCCCCTTCCCCCTTCCGTGGGCCTCTGTGATGCGTTCCCCTAGCAGCAGCTTCTTGGATGTGCCAACATTCTACTGGCAAATTGTGCAGCGAAGCCACTCGTATTGGACAATTCAGTTTTCTGGGAACTGACATTGGAGTTGGAATTTTCTCTAGTGCCTGATATGGTAAAAATTTATGGTTCCTACTTTCTACTATATGAAGCATAGCAGACTGTATCTCATTTGAAATATCGATAAATCTTATGAGTAAGAAATTGAATAGTCGTTTACAAACCTAAAATCATAGAATAATTATTTCATATTTCTTTCTTTCTTTTTTTTTTTTTTTTTTTTTTTTTTTTTTTT